AGAATTATCAGTTATTTTTATCATTTTGTCGATTTTTTTTGCAAAGTTCAAGTTACGGGGCTGGGAGTTGGCACAGGGGGTAAGCGAACATTCTGATTACGAATACGATAACCATTTTCAAAAATGCCCATTATTTTTATTATTTTATCGATTTATTTGCAAATTTTGAACTACGGGCTGGGAGCTGGCAAAGGGGGTAAGAGAACATGCTGATTACGAATACAGTATCAGTTTTTAGAATTATCAATTATTTTTATCATTTTGTCGATTTTTTTGCAAAGTTCAAGTTACGGGGCTGGGAGTTGGCACAGGGGGTAATCAAGCATGTTGATTACGAATGATAACCATTTTCAAAAATGCCCATTATTTTTATCATTTTATCGATTTATTTGCAAATTTTGAACTACGGGGCTGGGAGTTGGCAGAGGGAGGTAAGCGAACATGCTGATTACGAATATGATAACCATTTTTAAAAATGCCCATTATTTTTATCATTTTATCGATTTATTTGCAAATTTTGAACTACGGGCTGGGAGCTGGCAAAGGGGGTAAGAGAACATGCTGATTACGAATACAGTATCAGTTTTTAGAATTATCAATTATTTTTATCATTTTGTCGATTTTTTTGCAAAGTTCAAGTTACGGGGCTGGGAGTTGGCACAGGGGGGTAATCGAGCATGCTGATTACGAATGATAACCATTTTCAAAAATGCCCATTATTTTTATCATTTTATCGATTTATTTGCAAATTTTGAACTACGGGGCTGGGAGTTGGCAGAGGGAGGTAAGCGAACATGCTGATTACGAATACGATAACCATTTTCAAAAATGCCCATTATTTTTATCATTTTATCGATTTATTTGCAAATTTTGAACTACGGGCTGGGAGCTGGCAAAGGGGGTAAGAGAACATGCTGATTACGAATACAGTATTAGTTTTTAGAATTATCCGTTATTTTTATCATTTTGTCGATTTTTTTTGCAAAGTTCAAGTTACGGGGCTGGGAGTTGGCACAGGGGGGTAATCGAGCATGCTGATTACGAATACAGTATTAGTTTTCAGAATTATCAGTTATTTTTATCATTTTGTCGATTTTTTTTGCAAAGTTCGAGCTGCGGCGTTGAAGTTGGCACATTGGAGCAAGCGAGCATGCCGATTACGAATATGATAACCAATTCAAAAATACCCATTACTTCTATTGGTTTGATTGATTATTTGCAATGTTTGAACCACGGCGCTGGGGGTTGGTACAGGGGGTAAGCGAACATGCTGCTCACGAACGCGTTCTTATTTTACAAGTTATCAATTACCTTCACTGGCTTTATCGATTTTTCGCAAAGTTTAAGCCACGGGACTGGGATTTGGCACATAGGAAAAAGCGAGCATGCCGATTACGACTGTAATAAGTGTTCTTGAAAGTACCCATTATTTCTGCCGATTTTTCTATTCTTTGTAGAATTAGAGCTACACGGCCGGTATTTGGCACAAAGTTGTATGTGAGCACGCTCACTGCAAAGATAGTAACCGTTTTTGAGAATACCCATTACTTTTATTAATTTCATCTTTTTTTCAAATCTGAAGCTACGAGGCTGAGATGGCAATGGGGGGTAAGTGAGCATGCTGAGAATTGTATAATCACACTCGGAATTGACGAAGACGGTAAATTCACCTAAAGTTGTTATAGATTCACTTTGGCCCGCCTTTACCTTTTAAAATCCTACTTCTGCCCCTAAAATCAGAAAAGCACGAAGAGCCTGGTCTCGAGGGAAGAAAAGGCTTATAAACTGAGGCGGCAAGATATTTCCGCCAAGAATTTCTACGAGTCAATATCTAATTATACAGAAATTTCCTTGAAATTTACTTCTCTCCATTCCACCCTGCAAAAACCATACTTCTGCCTCTGAAAGCAGAAAAGTGGTCTCTGGGGATGGACAGACCCATGAGTATTATCCGATAGGACATTTTCACTAAAACTTTTGGCCCCAAACTTCGCAAAAACCACAAACTCAAAAACCACACTTCTGGTCCTAAAAGCAAAAAAGACAGGAAGCTTGGTCTCGAGGGAAGAAAGAATTATGGCCTCAGGCAGCAAGATAATTTCGCCAGAAGTTTCTGGGTGTCAATGATTGTACAGAACTTGCTTGAAATTTACTTCCGGCCCTTCTATTTGCAAAAACCATACTTCTGCCTCTAAAAGTAAAAAAGCACAAAGTGTTCTCGAGGGAAGGACAGACCCATGAGCTTCATCCGACAGGACATTTTCGCTAAGATGTTTGATCCCTAGACTTCGTAAAAAACCAGTACTTCTGCCCCTAAAAGCAGAAAAGCACAGAAAATTTAGTCTCGGGGGAAGAAAGAATCATGGCTTCAGGCAGCAAGTTATTTTCGCCAGAAGTTTCTGGGTGTCAATGAATATACAAAAACTTGCTTAAAATTTACTTCTGGCCATTCTACTTTGCAAGAACCACACTTCTTCCTCTAAAAGCGAAACAGCACAGATAGCTTGGTTTCGAGGAAAAGACAGAACCATGAGCTGTATGCGACAAACATCTTCGCTAAGGCGTTTGACCCCCTAGACTTCGCAAAAACCAGTACCTGACCTCAGAAGCAGAAAAGCACAGGGAATTTAGTCTCTAGGGAAGGAGAGCCCATGAGTTTCATCCGACAGGACATTTTCGCTAAGAGGTTTGACTCTTCGCAAAAACCACAAAACTCAAAAACCACACTTCTGCCCTAAAAGCAAAAAAGCACAAGGAGCTTGGTCTCGAGGGAATAAAGAATTATGGCCTCAGGCAGCTGGATATTTTCGTCAGAAGTTTCTGGGTGTCGATGTTTTATTATAGAGAAACTTGTTTGAAATTCGTGGCCATTCTACTCTGCAAAACCATACTTCTACCCCTGAAAGCAAAACAGCACAGATAGCTTGGTCTCGAGGGGAAGAGACTCATAAGCTCAGCCAGCAAGATACTTTTGCGGAAAATTTCTGGGTGTCAATGTTTATTCCACAGAAACTTGTTTGAAATTCACTTGTAGCCATTCTACTCTGCAAAAACCGGACTTCTGCCTCTGAAGGCAGAAAAGTGGTCTCGAGGGAAAGACATCTCTGAAAATGTTGGCCTTTTGAACTAAAACTACACTTTTGCCCCTAAAAGCCAAAAAACAGGGAGCTTGGTTTCGAGGGAAGAAAGGCTCAGGGCTCAGGCAGCAAGATATTTGCGGTAAAAACTTTTAGGTGTCAGTATTTAATTATGAAGAAACTTGCTGGAAAAATTACACCCTTCTTCTCAACCATACTTCTGCCCCTAAAACCGGAAGCATAAGGAGCAGGGTTTCGAGGGAAGGAAAGACCTAGGATTTTATGCGACAGGACAGTTTCGGTAAGATTGTCCTCCAAAAGAAGGCGTTGGGTCAGCTTTAGTCTGTTCTAAGAAATGAGTCCGTTCACTGGCAAGACATCATCGAAGAAAATGCCGCTTCGTTTTTATCTACATATCCGAGTTTTCGGCTGCTAGAAGACATAACTTGACGCTTCCCTCAACATGGCACTTTTCCTGGAAATCAATATGAGTTTTGGGATGAATCAGCTGTTCTAAACAGGTGCTTGGAGGTAACATCCTTGTTTAAGAGCTGTGATATCTGGGCGAAGGTATCTGCAAGAGGAACAGCAGAAATGCTTTGCGGATAGTCACTGGTATAGTAGCTTCTTTTCCTAAGAGCATGGTGTTTTGTTTCTACTACTCGCAACACGCGAAAGGTCGTTGGGAAGATGGAAGTTCTCTTTCTTGGGATTTTTAGTTAATTAATGGCAGATATCAATGTATCTGCCACCACCCACTTACTAGCGACCCGTAGGGTCGCTAGTCTTATATATAAAGCTGAATGTCTGTATGTCTGTCTGTATGTCTGTCTGTCTGTATGTCTGTACGTATGTGCGGAATAGAAATTTTTATTTCTGAACCGATTTGGACCAAACTTGGCACACATATACTTCGGGGCAGGGAGCGTGTCATAGTCTACTTTTCGTTATCGATCGATGTCGATTTTACCGATTTTTTGCAAAATTTGAGCTAGGGGGCTAGGATTCCTCCCTGCCGCTCCCTGCCCCGAAGTGTATGTGTGCAAAGTTTGGTCCCGGGTGGAGCCGGGTTTGCCATCTAGTTTACAATAAACTATAATGCCATGATTTGAATGGTAAAAATTTGGATATCAATGAATTTGAAATGAGGGTTTGGAAAATCATATTGTTTGTATAAAAAAGTAATTGATGTTAAATGAACTTTTGGTACCTAATTGAGATTAAATATTGCTAGCAAAAAATAAAAAACAAATATTGATTGAATTTTCGTGTTACTATATAGTAGAATGAACAATCGCTGTTTAGTTCGGTATCATGTTGCAGTATATCTGTGTCTTTCTATTTTTGAAATTACCTAAAATAACCTTTACGATAATTATATTCAGGAGTGTTTAGTATTGATCAAATTTATTTCATATTCAAATATTGAGAAGAGAGATAAGAATGGTGAGTACTGTCTTTTGACAGTTGACCCCCGATTGGTCGAAAAAAGAAAATAAAGATGTTTATTTGTAAGTATGACCGAACTCTTCAAAAAAGGAAGGAGATGAACCCGTTTATTAGACATTAAGAGAATTGATTGGGATGAAGATAAAATTTGAATTTTTAATCCGATTGGAAGAAAAGAAAGATAGTGAGATAAAAAAGTGAAGATAAAATTGCGCATTTTGTAGATGCGTAGAAGCTTAGGGTCTCAAGATTGAAGAGAGGATTATAGTATGCTGATAGTTGATCTATTCAACGAATTCGTGCCTTGGAAGTTATAAAGCAAGTGATTGACACTAATCTTGTAATTTGAATTTGTTGTTCGGATAGTATTGCTATAAAATTTATCCAAAGGAAACACTTTATTGTGCAACATTTTTGTCTATTTGTCCACATTCTGCTAAGAGTTTGCCAGTTGACATTTGCGCGCAATCTTACTTATTTGCTGAATATTGAGCTGATAAAATCGTCCGCTTTCTTTCCAATCCAGCTCAGAATCTCATCTTCATCGATAACTGATCCCAAGAAACGACCAAAGTTATTTTCCAGCCACTCCATGAAGTCAAACTGAGGGATGCAGTTATGGTATTTGTCGTAGAGGATACCGTCTGATGCGCGGCTAATATTGAAATCCGTGCAGATAGTACAAGCTGTTGTTTCGCATTGAAGCTTAGGTTCTACACAAGTGAAAATCAAGCGGTTATCCTGAAAAGCATAGTTTGTGACCATTGCACTAACAGGGACTGTGTTGTAGCCAAAGTTTTGTGGAAATCATTAACACAATAATGTTCAACCTGAGTGTTTCGACTTTCAGCCGTATACGGTAAGATCTCCATCAAACACATTGTGTGTTGCCAGCAAGCTTTGTCAAGGCAAAATTTCTCATAAAAACTCTCATTTAAAGCTTATGATTTCCTACAAGTTAAATAATTTGCTGGAGAAAAGTCGGATTCGCTCTGTAAAAAATTGGAACTGTTTAATTTCAAATTGATTGCTTTTGAAGAATTTATATGTGCTGTTTCTGTGAGATTCTATCAGCGATGCATGCACAAACGGTTTTCTCGTGGAAATCATGAAGTAAAGGAAAACGCCAATCCAAAATTGAAACTAGGCTCAGTAGATTTACGACGGCTACAAACTATAGAATCAGAAAAAGCTTAGCAATGCCTCGTCGTTGTTGCTGGTCTCAAATGAAAAATGAACATTATTTTGCTTTCAAGGTCAAAGTAAGTAAAAACCACGAAAATTTTTGTTGACTCGAACTTCTTGATAGTCAAGAGGCTATCCAGCTGTGATTTTTATCGCGCTGATTCAGTAAAAAGCATTTCAGATCATGAGATCACCAAGGCAGAACACCAAGTAAGTCAGAATATGAGGCCCTAATTTTTTTTCTAACAAATGACATTTTCAAATCTTTTTTTACAGATTGTTAACATTACGATAACAGATGTTAACAATACAATTTCTTTGCGACAACTGCCTTAATACATTGTTTCATTTTTTATGTCTAGCAATCACTTCCAGAACGTCCGTTTGGGGGGGGGGAAGGGGAAGAAAGAAATCAAAATTCTTCCCCGACTTCGAAAAAAAATTTTTTCGTGATACTTTTGCAAACTTCTATAGTAATATTGCTGATAAGATTAACTTTTTCATTAAGTATAAACCAGGCGAGAAAATGCTAGTATACTGGTACAATCTTAAACAAGTTCAATGTAATGCAACTCACCGCTTGTCTTCGTTCCCGGGTTGTTGAAAAATGTGACGAGAATAGTGGAAGGAAAATTCGCACGATATCGGCGCTGAGACACAGCATTTTGTCATTTGGTGGCACAATGTCAGTTGAAGTGATGTTGTTGGCACTAAATGATTACAGCTGATTGATTCACAGTGAAGATTCACAGTGATTTGAGAAACGCACTTTTATAGCTAATGTTCTGTGCATAAAGCAATCGCATCAACCAAAAATAAAATTATCAAAATACGAAAATTCTATAATTCGTTTTTTTTTGCTATAGCATTTTAAAAAATCTGCTCAAAATAATTTCCACCTTCTGTACATCCTATGCTGGAAAACCAAACTTGCAATAGCTTTTTGGCAGTTTTTTTCGGATCAGAGGTGCAAACGGACAAGGAACTCAATTCAAGCCTTAACTATTATGTTAGCTAATCTTGAATTGCAACATTGCAGAAGTTTTGAACTAGCTCTAAAGTTCCAAACCTACTGTTCCAAAATGAGAGATTGTGATGGTTAGGCGTCTCTGCCAAGTGCTATGATTCTGCGATTGTATTAAACAAAGAAGGCTTTTTCAAAAATTTTTGGACATAAAGTTGCCCAAACCTTTTTTAGTCGAAATGACTCATAAAACCTATATATCAACGATAAAACAGTTCAAGAGCAGCTTCCACATTTTTAGCGAATCAGTTTAAGATGGCAGCTTTTGGTGGTTATCTTCTTCTTGTACCTTGACGCACCATGTCAAAATACGCAAAGAAATTATTGCAGAATCAAAATTTTTTCAAAGAGATTGCGACAAACATAATTGTCTAGATGGCAAAATTCACGAATTTCTAATAGAAAATCCTACCAGTACAATAATAGCTCGAGTTGACAAAAATCCGCATCCTCATTTTGAAACTTTCGTCACCCGAGTTTTGACCAGAATATGCAGTTTTGAGCGAATTCGATTTAGAAAATATGTGGCTGTCTCTTTCCAATGCGCTTGTCCAATGTTTGAACTCTCGCAGCAATTTCACAAGTCCCGTTGCAAAAATTTTCTTTTGAGGAGAGAAATTCGTCTTAGAAGATGGATGCTTCAAATGTCTCTGCGCTCAAAGGCAGTGGATTGGGAAAATTGCAGCTGCGAGCCTTCTGTTCCTCCTTGGCCTTCTAGATGCGTTTAGACCAGAGCTGTGTTTGAAAAGTCAAAAAAGTGCTTTTTATGGTGTTTTTCCAGCCGCAGGTTGCTGAGGAGGCTGGAGCGATCCCGGCAAAAAAGTGATTGGTGTAGGAGACTGTAACACCACTCATTTTGGCGGTCACGACTTGCCTGCGGGAGTCTTCGCTCCAGCCTCCTCAGCAATCTCCAAGACCGGAAAACGCCATAAAAAAGATAAAGCATCCAAAGGCCAAGACAGAGAACGAGCAACTGCAATTTTCCGGAGTCACTGCTTTTAACAACGTGACCAGTCAAAAGCCAATGAGCCCAAAAGTAAGATCAGTAGTATCCAGAAATGTCAAAAACCGGCCATCACTGTGTAAAACACTTTCTCTATTTAGTATTTGATTACAGTTTTTGGTCCTCTGCAGCATTCACATACTGCACCGATTTCTCGCTTCATATTGCACCTTTTGCTTCCAAATTGCTATTGCTTAGCATTGAAATCACACCACCATTTTTGAATTTGGGTGGATGAGGCCTTTTAAAGTGGACTTCCTAGCATACATGCCAAAACCGCTGGATTTTGAAACGCACATACTACATGTACAAGATTCCTTCTTTCATCCCTCTCACTTACTTTCCTGTTTTTACAGCAATTCGAAGAACATTATTTCTCACAGTCCAGTCGATAGGACTGTTAAACAAGACTGCGTAACCAGCATTTGATAATTTGTATTCGAGGCGCTGCAATTCATTGTTTCCCGAGCTCGTCACTATTTCGTCAAGCTGCAAGAATTTTCATAAGAGAGTGCTGCAAAGAGAATCTAGAGCTTTACCTTTGTTACTACATTTTTGTCGATTATTTCACGGATTTTGTCCATCAGCATCGTTTTTATATCGAAAAGCGCATCTACAAGATTGAGAATTTTTAGGCCCTTTCCGAATTTGATCTTTATGTTTGATTCCATGGTAACGTATGGAACAAATTTAGAGCCGTCCCATAACAACTTGACATCGAGGATCACGTTTGTGGAGGATACTCTTAAAAACATAGACAATAAATTTTCTTCAAGCTTTACACATGAACTGCTCACTTTATCGTGCCATCCAAGGTAGGAAGTGGTAGACAAAATAGCAAACAGTTACTAGCCATTCCCACTTCTAAATTCGCAGTAGCGCGGAACACTATTCCTTGTACCTGATAAAACAAGGTCAAAAAAGTTTAAAAAAGAAAAGCCCTACCTTGAGATAAATTCCGTCACCATATTTTTCAAAGAATATATTACTGCTAGGAATAAGAAACGATTGGATTTTAGCACCCCATGCTTTGTAACGCAGAAGGTTCTCTATCTTAAATGAAGAAAAACAATACAATGTAAAAACACATAAAATAATTACCTCTCCTTCAATTTCGGGGAAAGTAATTGAGTTTGCAGTTCTATTGATGGCATCGCTTTCTCTATCGAGTAACCCAAATATCCTTGACGATATTGTCAGCACTAATGGCTCAACAGTATCCGACGGCCCGATACTGTTCTGGATCAGTTTAACAAGAGAGTCAGGGCTCCAGCTAAAGAAACCAAAATAGTGGACCATTGCCTGCTCAAATAAGCTAGCAGAAAGTTGCTATACTTCGTCCTCAGTCAATGACATATTTATGTCACATATGGTAGGCGTTTAAGCACACTTGTACAATTTCGGTAAAGAGGGTTCCCCATACACTTTCACGCGTCTTCGGAATTGTGAAAGATTGTGGATTCATAGGTGCTGTAGTTATTGAAGAAAACAGCTATTTGGATTTCCTAGAGCATCAAGGAATTTTACAGTAAATTATGCAAACAAGCTTCCTTAAAGTATCAGGTTGTCCCATAATTCCGTCCATTTGAAATTTCAATCGCAATAAGTCATGAACTTCTTGGTTTTAGACAGGTTCCAAGGTAACATTTGATAGAGCAAAGCAAGCTCTACAAGATGCGCCTCTCATTTTCGCATCAGTTCAAATCCATCTCGAGTTTGAAGCCAAAAACCAAAAAGATCCAACCACCCGAAACATAAAGAAAAATTCGCAACTCCGTTTATAAAAATCCTAGAAAATTCCTAATTTGCTCACAGATACCCTATTCATATCAGACATTTATATATACTGTTGCTGTATTTTTTCCTCAAACAGAAATCGAGAAAACGAAAATTTTCATGTTTTTGCCAAAGTGATGCTGTGCTGTTCTCACACTAGCAGTTGTATACTACAGACCAGTACAAGTACAGACACAAATTTTCAGCGCTCTACAGGCTTTAGTTCTCGAGAAATAATCGTTTTAAGACGGGACACCCGATTGTACGAAGCTAAATTCAATGTTTCTCGAGAACTAAAGCCTGTAGAGCGCTGAAAATTTTTGTCTGTACTTGTACTGGTCTGTAGTATACAACTACTAGTGTGAGAACAGCACAGCATCACTTTGGCAAAAACAAGGAAATTTTCGTTTTCTCGAATTCTATTCAAGGAAAAAATACAGCAACAGTATATATAAATGTCTGATATGAATAGGGTATCTGTGAGCAAATCAGGAATTTTCTAGGTTTTTTTCCAAACGGAGTTGCGAATTTTTCTTTATTTTTCGGGCGGTTGGATCTTTTTGGTTTTTGGGTTCAAACTCGAGATGGATTTGAACTGATGCGAAAGAGAGAGGCGCATCTTGTAGAGCTTGCTTTGCTCTATCAAATGGAACCTTGGAATGTCTAAAACCAAGAAGTTCATGACTTATTGCGATTGAAAGTTTAAACGGACGGAACTTATGGGACAACCTGATAATTTGTGGAAATGTTTGTTACATTGGAAACCGTTTTCTTTTGGATATGTATATGTTACAAATAGATGTCGACTTCGTGGTATCCCGCTATTTCATGCAAACTTGATTTGTTGCATGAAAAGCAGGATATATATAGAATTATTAGAGCTTGTTTGAGCCGGCCCAAAAAATCTGGTCTATCACTTCTAACAGCATGAGAGTACCCTTCAAAATTTCTGCTTTTTGAAAGCTAATTTTATAAAGCATGGACTTACTGTGCAGCTTCGTAGCCTGCTATGACGGCGCAAAGTATGAGAAGAACTCTGTACATTTGCTAGATGAATTCTTGAACTTCTGAAAAAACTATTTATTTTTCAAAAGCACTACAACGTAGATGCAGCTACCCGTACTTCAAGTGAGCTTTTAGATTCTTACACAATAAAAATTAGGCTGATGATACAGCGTTGCTTCAAGAATTATTAAACAGTGCATAAGAGCTTGGCACTAATTTTTAAAAAAGTTTGAGGATTGACTTGAACGCAAGACTTTCATTTTAGCCTTCTCATGAAACACTGAAGCATCCACTGCGAACTTCCAATTCTATAATCAGGTAGTCAACAGCAACCAGCAGTCAGAAGCCATTAGATCAATATCTATCATAACTTTCATTTCTCACATTTCTCATTTCTCCACTATTGAAAGCTTCTTGTTTTGCTACAACAGAATTTACCTGCTATTTTTAGCTATCCTTACTTGTGCCCATGGTTCTGTTTTAGTCTCTGAATATTTGTCAACTACATCGGAATTAAACGTTTCAAATCAGCCCGTGAGAAAAGGTTAGTGTTATACGTGCTTGTGTCTTCTTTTTCTAGGTGTGTCTAATGCAATGCTTGTTTTAGTAGCTGGTAGTGTGAATCGAGATGTCGTACAGATTTTTCGAATCATCTGAACTGATAATTTGTGATATACAGAAATTAGTATATTTCTGTCTTATAGTATTTCTCTCTCGTTGATCTATAACCAAATCCGAATATTATTCTCGAAAAAACCCTGCTAATTTGGGTACAAACGGAATCTTGTTCTCCAGATTGGAGGGAGAGACCCAAAATCTAATGTGAAAGGCTTCAATCACCTTTTATCCAAATCTCCCAAGAAAAAAAAGCGAAGGCCGTGCCTAAAGAGAGAAAGAGATGTTGTATATCTAAATGTGCAAGAGAGCTTGTGTCTACTACAAAAGACCCATGGCTTTAAGCAGTATCTGTCAAGTCACGGATCGTAAGCTAAACGAAGCAGTTAAACGCTAAGAGAAAGAAAGCAATTCTAATAACAGAAAAAGTTAAAGACTAGAACCCTTGAGTGGACTACTGTTCAAATTATATTTTCAATATTATTATAGCGGCCTTTATATGCCGCAAAGCAAACGAAACCAGGTGAGCAATTGAAAAGCGAAAGTACAGTATTGTTCTTCAGTTGTACTGCATGTATATGATCAAGAACATCCCAAGCTACACAAACTTGAAGATCAGCTGACTCAAAGCACAACAGCTGTACAAAGGTTGCATGTCTTAGCCTATTTCCTGAGCGCGAGGTATGCATTAGGCCTAAAGCATCATGTCAGGTTGTAAAGAAAATCTTTAGCACTTGACTTTATTTTCTGACGCTCTTTTCGCTACTCGAATTTCAGTGGCAATCTTTGCAGATTTTTCATTCGACTATCCATAAATCTTGACTAGTTTGAATCTTCTGATTGATTTCTTTAGCGGCGTCCAAGATTGGTACAGGTATTTATTCCACAATATACAGACTGACGTTCCGGCAAACTCGCCTTCTCCAGAGTCTGAAAAGTCGAAAACACATAAGTAAACTATCTCGGTCAAACACATTATCGACTACAGAAAAGAGCCCAACCCTCTAGATAAGCAACAGTGTCAAACAAAGCGCGAGATTAAGCCAGCCACTTATGTGGTCTGCACCCACCAAATCTATTATCTGTTAAGGTGAGCACTGGCTTGATCTTGCGTTTTGGTTGATATCTAAAGGGTTGGGCTCTTTTCTATAGTCGATAATGTGTTTGACCGGGATAGTTTACTTATGTGTTTTCGACTTTTCAGACTCTGGAGAAGGCGAGTTTGCCGAAACGTCAGTCTGTATATTGTGGAATAATTATTTGTACTAATCTTGAACGCTGCTAAAGAACTCAATTAGAAGCTTCAATGCATCTCTGATTTTACGTCCAAGCCTGTCTTTAATCCCAGAATAGAGACTTTTTCAAAGAACTGAAGTTAGGTAACTAAGGTAACTAAGATTCGCTTTTTTTGAGAAAAGCTATTTATAGGATCAGCTTCGAATGCTGATTCAAACATGCGGTTCTTAGCTGCTGCACATCATTCTTGTCGATTTTTTTCGCAAAGTATGCATAATCCTTGACCTATAATAGACGTCATCCGTCTAGTCACCTCAATGCGGTGTGTGTTAGTGCACACAAAGTTGAAATCCCGGATGAGGCGCTGACGTCATCATTCGAAGTACCCGCCGGCTTTGAACTTGTTGCCGTAACCGAATTTGCATGGTGCGCACAAGAGTTACAAGCTGTCACTCTCTATCACAACTCCTTTCTCAGCAAATACCGCTTTTAAGAGGATTGCACAGATAAGAGTGCTCAAAAAATGTTGGCGTTACCCAAAAATCATTTGCATCAATCAAAATTTTGAATCCGTGTTGAAAAAGGAATCTTATGGGCGCATGCATATTGTTCTCCCTGTGGAGGGGATCCGTTTAGAAAAAGGCTTTATTTCCCCAAGTTCTTGAAAGCTAATTTCATGCTACTTATCCATCAGTAACTTTCCTACTTCTTTACTACGAACATACTGAACAGGAGCGAAAAGCTTTACAAGTCGCATTTTCATGCTTTTTTGTACGAACCCACCCAGCAGGCAACCTATTATTTCCAGTGTCATCTTATATTCTTTGAAGTTAATGAAAACATACAAATTTGTGCTGATAATCTAACCCAACACTGTTGAGCATGTTGCTGATAAGAACAAACAAGTTTGTATGTTATCAAATTTTTTGATAGACCCCAACTTCCGACTTGTGGTTCATCGCAATTTTCATGACTTTGACACATCATTTCTTCTCTTCTGAATCATGTTTAGTACTATCGAGTTAGTAATGAATACAACTTCTCAATAGTCCTATTAGTTTTGAAAAGATAAAATGACTTTGAAAGAGAGTTGGTTGGCCGCCAGGAAAAGTTTTATGAAGCTTTGATTTGAGCTGCGACCCACTCCCCGGCGAGGATGTTACTGCATGCGGCTATTAACCAGTACTCAGAGTATTTTAGCAATCAATAAGTGACATCGCCGGTGGCTATGGGAATCGCCTAATGGAACGTGTTCTGCGGAGATCGACCACATTCTCACCAACCGAAGGCGGAGCTTGCGCGATGTCTCAGTAGTTCCATCCTTCTGCAGTGGCTCAGATCACCGCCTCCTTCAAGCGAAGATACGATTCAGTCGAATCCTGGAAAAGAAGGACTGCCACAGTGCCGCAAGAAGAAAGAATGTTGTTTATGACGGTAACAGGCTGGAGGAGCTCATATCAAGTTGTGACTGGCCCATCGAGGAGGACCCAACGTACGACTACGACCGGCTTTTTAGAGGATTGTGGGCCTGTGGAGGGTGCGCCTCAGTGACTTCTGAGAAGAACTTGGAACGCATTTCGAAGAAAACCAAGGCGTTGCACGAGAGAAAAAAATTTCTGAGGCAGGATCCGAATGCAACTGATAGCCAACGCCAGTTGCAGAACATA